GGGTTCATAGAAGCCTATTGAATGTGGTAGGGTGTAGCTTGCTGCTTCATTATTGTTTTTCCATTACTTCCCCTTATCAGTGACCAACATGGTCACCAGCCAGAGAGCATGTCTGTTCATGTATTCCCATTGAGTCTTAGTCTTAGAAGGCGTTTGCTCTGAAGGGACCTGACCACTTGCCTTGACGTTTCCTGGGTGGGCAACTTGCTGGTTCTTGTAGTAGTCAGTCAGACTGCCGTTACTATTTTGTATTTTTCCTGTTGGTCTTTCTTTCAAGAAGTATTTTCTGTTCTAGCTGCTCCAGGCTGATCTTCTTGTCCTTCCAAGTGGAAACTTCCCACCTCAGAAAGTTCTTGATGTGGTTCAGGATTCTACCTATAGTCTTATGTATTGCAGAGGCTTCACAGGAAGCCTCCTTCACTGGGCACGTTGTAGCCCCATTTTAAGTATTCCAATCAGTTTAGGCAGAAGATGGACTTACAGAAGATGGTGATATTTCTGGCTATTTCTTTCTCTCCCCCTTAAGTATCTATTTTATAATGGTATGCATGGGAAAATAAGATTCAAAAGACAGCCAATAACCTTAACATTGTTTTCCCCCTTTTGCCCATTCCAACCATGCCTCAATCCCTGTATCCTAGAGCCCTGCTGTTCCAAGGTTGTGCATACATCATTATTAACCTCTGTCTCACTTAGCCCATGCAAACCTGCCTAATTGTTCTCTCATCTGCCTTGTTCTTGACATGGTAAAATTTTTTTATGGGAGCAAACCACCTCAGCTATTTCCTGCAAAGCTTTTGATCTTCTGGTTAGCAGCCTAGTGCTTAGTTGACTGCACCAACAGTAAACATGAGTTTACTGTTGTTCAAAGGATAACTAGTAGAGCTCTGATATAAAGCCTTTTTAGCAATGTAAGAAATTATTATGTTTATGTAGAAGAGTATAAAAAATTATTGTAGGCTGTAAAATAAAAAAATAAAATCTTAGTCCTTCCAGCTACTAGCTCTATTTGCAGGCCCACACAAAGAGTTTCCTCTACATCCTGCAAAGGTATGCTTCCAACAAAGCTTCCTTGTGTGTATTCATGTGTCTTCTTGATCAAATAGCTCTTTATCCAACCATTAAATAATTTTGTCTGATTTCATTCATGTTTCACTCATTTCTTTCTGTATCATTATGCATTTTTTTCTCCTTTATGTTTTGTAATAGGTGTACAGTTGTCCAAGTTGGTCCTGACTCATAACAATCCTACATACGGTATTTGAGGAGCAGCTGGTGGATTTGAATGTCCGACTTTGCAGTTAGCTGTCCAATGCTTATCCCATAGTATCATACCAGGACCCAGGTTATATAGGTGGTAATTGTGGACTGTTGAGTCAGTTCTGACTCATAATGACCCTTCACAAGGTTTCTGGTGTTTAAATCTTTACAAGAACAGATACTCTCTCCTTTCTCTTATGGAGCAGCTGGTAGGTTCGAATTGCTGACCTTGTGGTTACCAGCCCAATCACTATTCTACCAGGTCTTACGGCTGTTAGGGTGTTACTTCAAGAGCTAATTAGCTAATATTGGTTAATGTTAACAGATGGTTAAATATTTGATAGTTTTATACAGAAAGGTATTCTGCATGAAAGACTAACCATACTACATTAATGGAAACTTGTATTTTAATACATTGTGTGTTGTCAATTTGCCTGATTTCTATAATTCAGGATAAATTTCTATAATTAATGGCTAACCATTCCATTACAATCTTACCATCTTTTTATTTTCTCTAGCTGTGAAACATTGTTCTTATATATATTTGATTAACATCCTGACCTTTCAGACACAGGAGACTGTGAGGAACTAGAAGCCACTCTTGCCTTATTTTGTCCCCTTTTGTCATTACACGTGATCATTCCATCCAGCACCCATGCACTGCATGCACAAAGTTTAATTAACAGTCAGATCTTGTTCTCCTCATATTTTTCCAGGGATGGCTCAGAGCAGTAAACTACATGCCTGTAGAATATATCCAAACCAAACCATTGCGATTATTCCTACTCATAGGGACTCCATAGAACTGAGTAGAACTGTCCCACAGAATTTGTAAGGCTGCAGTATTTACAGGAACAGCCTGCTGCATCTTTCTGAAGAGCCGTTGATGGGTTCCAGCCACTGATATTCTGCTCATCACCTAACCACTGTACCACCAGGATTCTCAGGATACTATATACCAAGGAAGTAATGATCAGTAGTCCATTCACTTTTGTGTTAGCTGTTTTCTAGTACATCAGCTACTTCAGAAACAGAGACAGTACCTGAAAGTTAAAAACTTGAAGTGCTGGCTGCTGGCCGTGAAAATAATATTTTTATGCAAATAACTTTTGAGCTGTATGGCTGGCAAACTGTCAAGGATTAGTTTCTTATGTAAACTATGACTGTGAGCCTTATTTACTTGAGTCCATCATACATGAAAAAATAAGGTGTTGGCGCTGCAGGATAAAATGCTGGACTGCAAAGTCAGTTTGAATCACAAGGTCAGCGGTTCAAACCCACCAGCCACTCCTCGGAAATCCTACATAGGGTTGCTATGGGTCGGAACCGACTAACAGCACATAACAATAAGAAGCTAGGTGAGAACAGATTTGATGGCATACAACAACAGCAGTAGAACCTATGTCAAGAACAAAGTATCATTGGAAGTTGTAGAGGTTTAGTGATGGGCAGTTAGTTTTGACACAAAGCTTACTTGCTGAATATTATAATTAATTCACACAGCTAGTCTCACTGAGAGTAAAAGTAAAGTGTGTTAAGTGCAGTAATATTAGCTTTCTTTCTGTCATAAGCTGTTACTGGAAAAAGCCACAGAGGAAATGTTTATCTGCAAGACCACGATGAGTATGAGTGTGTAGACCACAGAGTAGAATCCTTTTAAGTCTTGTACAGTGCGCGCGCGCTCACACACACACACACACACACACACACACCTCCTAAATTCTTGCTGCCAGAGGGCACATCCTTGTAGTGGGACCACAACAACTGCATTCATCTTGGTTCAGTTCCTGCAAGGAGCACGCCTGGAGCTTCTCCTTCGTCACTAGTCCATCCTCAAATGAAGGCCTTGCGCCACATGAGTGCCATCGTGGGGGGGGGCGGCAAAGCGCTGGGGCGCAGCAGCATTGAGGGCAACCGAATTCCCTCCTCTGTCACTGACTGCTCCAGAATTCGGAGGTAGCGGCCAGCCCCTTGCGGCGCGACTCGCCATTGGCCGCCTGGAGGTGACAATCAGGGCGGGCCTAGGCGGCTGCGCTCCTAAGCTTTAGGCTGCCGCGGTCAGGTTACGCTGTCGCCGTTGCAGCCGCTGCCTGGGTCCCTTCAGCCCATTGCGTCTGCGAGAGGGCACCTCCCGGTCTCCGGGCACAGAAACCATGGTGAGTGCTCTCAACAGGCCAGCCGGCACCTTGCATCTCGGCCTGGGCCTGGTGCCTTGAGAAGCAGCTGCGCCGCGCGCTCGAGCTTGCCACTGGGGCCCGTAGAGCGCACGACCGGCCGAGCAGCTTAGCTGTATGGCTGCGTCTGGGGCAGGAGAAGTGGCAACCTTGGCTTCTCAGGGTGGGGGGAGGGAGGTAGGAGGGCAGTTGGTGCCATTCCTTCCCTAGAGGGTTCGCCATGCCACCCCAAAGCTTTCTGAGCTGGGCAAGGGGATGTCGGTTCTAGGCGCCGCGTCTTCCCGGCTCGGACTGGCGAAGCAAGGGTAGGAGATGAGTGACGGGGTTTGGGAGATGTAGCGTGCGGATGCCTCCAGTTGACTCGCGGCAGTGCTCTGAGCTGCAAATGGTATGAGGGGATAAGAACGTGGCATGGGGGTAGGGTGGGTGTGAATGATGGATCTACTCCAGACTGAGGCTTGGGAGAAGGTATGTCCCTATATCCATTCTTTAACACCAGGATATACAGCGTAGCCAGAGGTGCCAGGATAAAAAGACTAAACCTGCACAGTGGGAGCAGAGGAAGCAAATTCGCTCCCAATCACCTTCCCCTGAACCCTGTCCCTGACGTTCAGGTTTTCCCCTATTCCCGCAGTACGGATTTGTGAATCACGCCCTGGAGCTGCTGGTAATCCGCAATTACGGCCCCGAGGTGTGGGAAGACATCAAGTAAGTGACTGGCTCCTCCAGTTCGGACCCCTCTCAGTGCCAAATGTTGGATGACCGGTGGGTCTTTCCAGACTCTGTTCCCCAATCACGCTTCTCTGTCCGCCTCCCTTAGTAACCGGCGCGCATCTTCTGAGCTGCCTCCGCCCTGTGACTCCTGGTTACAGCTGCTCTCCCACGCTCCGGAGCGGGAACTAGGAGAGGAGGGGTGGCCTGGGCGGGGCTGGGAAAGGGAAAGCTGGAGAAGGATCCCCTTGGGGTCACCGCGGCCTCCCGACCCGGCCTGAGCGTGGGAACATTTCCCAAGATCGGCAGGCTCTTCGGCTCCCACGCGGAAAGGGAAGGGGGGCCCTGGGGACCACACAGACTTCCGAAAGGGTCATACTCCTAGAGGTCTTAGAAAGGAACGGAAGACCTTGGTTCTTTTAAAATTTCGCACACCTTGCTGTTGCATCAAATAGTTAATGTAAAAAGATATGTAGGTACGGGTTTTTAATGTACTAAAACACAGTTCATTCGAGACACTATTTCTTAAGCAAAGAATTGTATTTATTTATTCTGAAATAACTTGAAATCAAAATATATTCTCTTTTGTTTTCTCCAAATTCATTTTTGTTGTTGTTGTTTTATTTACTGTTGCTGAAAGGAGGGTATTCTAGTTTCAATCTGAACTGTGAATTCAGATCCATGAGTCCTGTGCAGAGGCTGTGATCGTAAAGACTACACCCACCTGAGTTTTTAAACCTGTTGGAATGAATGATGGGTCATCTCTTGGGGCAAGTAAAACACTTATAGCCAACGAAATTCTTTTACTCTCTCCTCATGCTGATAAAATTTACATTCAATTTATCATCAGTTAGATATTTCCAAACAATATGGACTTGATTTATTGAAATAAAAATTCAGCTCCAGCAGTCTAATGGGGTAGAGGAAAGGGATTCCTGCTGAGGCAGATGAGAAGACATTTTTAGTACTTACCCTAATTTCCTGTGCTCACTGATTTAATAACTGAAGAAGGTAATGAGACCATAGTATTTTCTTACAAATATAGTCTAATTATTAGCAGTTGATTTGATACAGTGGTCTCCAGAATGAGCTCAAACATAGCAACATTGTAAGGATGGTGCAGAATGGGGCTAAATTTCTGTTGTACATAGTGTCAGATTTGCATCAAACAGTGACACTTATGTAGTTACATGTTAGTGATTTCTTTTAGTTAATCTGTTTCATGGAAATAATTAGGTTTAGCTTTAACACTAGAAAACACCTTTTCCTCCCCTTTGGTGGTGTTGTGAAGTGCTTTTGAGTCGATTCCTACTCATATCCAACTTGTATAGGGTTTCTGAGGAGAAGCTGGTAGGTTTGAACTGCAAACCTTGTGATTCACAGTCCAGTGCTGATCCTACAGTGCCACACTATACAATGAGCACTCTTTCATGTTCCAAAAGCCATTTTACCTACGGGGCACATTATATGGTTCAATCAAATGAACAATCTAGACACGAAAGTATTTTGGAATTTGAATTTTCTTTCTTTTTCAGTTTTTTTAAGAAACTTTTTCTTGTGGTTTGAGTGAAAGTTTACAGAGCAAACTAGTTTCCCATTGAACAGTTTGCATATATTTTACTCCATGTCATTGATTGTAGCTCCCATAATGTAACATCACACCC